GGCTCTTTGTCTTTACAGGAAGCACTAGGCAGGATCCTCAGAAGTGGAAGAGTATGGGGATTCTTGATAGCTAGTTGTTATGCCCCCCAGTGATGGTTGGTAGCAGGTAGAACACCTTCTGGTTGTTGTGTGGCTTTGCATACCTGGTTGTTCAGCAGACAGCGCCTAAAGACACAAATAGATGTGGATGTGGAACTGGGTATTTTGTGTTCTCTTCTTGGCGATGGCCATTTGATGACAAGCGAGTTGAAATAATCTAGGTACAACATCTGTTTCTAATGTATACCATAAGCTGGTATGTAACATGTTTATCAGTTATTTCCTAATCAACCATAGTCTCTTGCTAGCTTTTTGATAATTTTAACTAAGTTGTGTTGCTCCATTTTGCTTTTCCCTTTGTGTATCCCAAGAGACATCATAGTTCTCTTCTTTTGAATCTGTAAATTCTTCAGGCAAGTTGGTGAGATTTATCATCTGCTGCTCTCTCCCAAATACTTGCACCTGTTCAATCCAAATATCACATTCATCAGTAAAGCAGAGGTCTCAAAACTAATGTTTCTAAGGTTGTAAAAAAACCTTCTGAGGTGGAGAAATGAGATTGACGTTAGTACCTGTCTGAAAATAAAGGTACACTGTGAGTGCAGCCATGTTACAAGACATCAGAGAATCCATATAGAAAAAATATTATAAAAAATCAGGTTTTATAATCCCAATGTTCAAGGAACTACTTTATTTTTCTTGTGCTCTTAGCTTGTGATCAAGGTGGGTTGTGAAGGCAGTGAAAAATATGGTTCTTATCAGAATTGATGAGTTAGAGGTTGCAAGATAATGATAACTGAGATACTAGTTGCAAGAAAACCCCTATCTATTTAACAGGAAAAGGTATAGAATTATAAAGTAAATGTAAACGCAGCTGTAGGTTTAGTAAAAGATACTGCTTCTCCTTAGGAGTTGTGTAAGTAAATGAGATTTCCCATCAGTCTGTGTTTGTTAAATATTTTGTGAGCAATCAGAGCTCTAAATTTTTATATGCTTTAGGTGGGAAGTGAACAAAAATGGTACATGATTTTTGCTGAAAAAGCAAGTGCCCATTATTTCCTTTAGGAGTTTTGAGACATATTATTGCTGAACATGAGCTGTGTGAACTGTTTTGGAGTAGGTGAAAACAGTTACACTGTTTCCTGCAACAGTACTTTTATGGTCTGATCTGGTAAGGGTTAGAGAGGAAATGGGTCAGCCTTTGGTGAACTACATTAAAATTGTTTCAGATAAATGTAAAAGGTCAGTGTAGGCAAACTAGGTTTTCTTATAGTAAAGTAGAATCTTCTAGTGAAGACATTACAGTTTATTGCTCGCTGTGGGCTGTTGCTGTAACAGCATTTTTATAGCCTTACGTGAGTCATGCTAAACTATGTATGGCTCAACTTAATATTTTATGTACCTCAATATGTTGTTCTACATTCCTGATTACAACCTTTGATTGCAACCAGTTCGTCTTACTGAATGCAGTTGATACTCAATGGTAATGTCTTTAATATTTCTTGTAGTTATTTTTCCATCTATTTCAAATGCAAATATTTTTGTTACAGTAACATCTGCAGTAATGATTAAAATTACTTCAAAGGTTTGGAACACAAGCTTGACAGCTGGTTGTGAACAATGGGAAAAGTTGCAAAACTGAGTTTGTCTGATAAATAATGCTGCAATAGAAATATGCTCATGAATGTTTGAGATGAGTTTCACATAAACTGTTCTATCTGGTTGCTGTTGCCTTTTTTCTTTGTTTTGCTTCAATTACAGCAAGCAAAATTAATCGAAAGAGGTTTCTTGGGTTTTCAGGAGTTTTAATGTGTACCGCTGGCATGTTGAAAGAGCAGTGTGAATAAAAAGCTGAAGTAGTATGTGTATTGTATTATCAATCTATTACAAAGGCGCTTCCACTGTCCCAAATGGATCAAGTAATTCTCATAATTATCCTAAGGAAACATGTTGAAGTAATTATGATATTAATTTGTCTGGTCTAAGAGGTAACACATTTAGGATACAGTTATATTATACATAAGACCCTGGCTGTAACTTTTAGGGTAAATGAGGTCGCTGACCTGTGCAGACCTTAGTTCAGGAGTTGCAGTGAAAAGACCTGATATTCAATAGAAAAGATTAATTGCAGGAGTACAGACATAATCTGATGGAAAGGCCCTTGACTGCTCATGGCCTTTTAAGAATCATATTGTCTCTTTACTTCAGAAACTCTTAAGGGTGTTCACTCTTCTTGAGTTTCATTTTTGGTCTGGCACCATCTGTAATGACAGTATTTTACGGGGAATTCAAGGCAAGTTTAGATAAGATATATAAATCCAAGCTGGATATATTGTGCTTGGTCTTGAAGCTTTTGATAGAACTAAGGCAACTTACCAACATACGCCATTGTTGGGAGTAAATTGGTATGTCCACTCTAGGAGCTACATTGATTTTAGTGATACAGTTATCCATATGGATTAGGGATACTGAATTGAATGAATTAATCATAAACTGTTGTAGAAGACAGTGTCCCTGTCTTCCCTTTTATTTTGTGCTGTGGGGGCACTAGCAGAATGGGCTGCAAAACATTATATATGATACTTCATATTCTGTCAAAATTAGCAGAAACCTGTTTGTTTTGAGAACTGAATGTAGGTTAAGCCCAGTAGTTCAGTTTTTGGTGTACCTCCACTTCTGTTGGTTTACTATAAATTCAGAAGTCTGGGGCAGAAGGCAGGCAGGTGGGGGAATTGATGTCTTAGATTAACCCACATAAATGTGCTGGAGTTTGTCTGTTCCAGTCATGACTCCTGTTACATTAGGTGAGAAGTATTAGAAAGCCCCTTAAATCTCAAGGGCATCTCACTTCTGATATGCATATCTGTGAGGATAGCCATCTTCATGGGTGTTTAACAATAAGGCCAAAGGGGCTAGTAGCCTCCCCATTGGGCAGTTATAGCTACTAAGAAACATGGGTTAATGTGTCTTTTTAAGCATCATGAGTGGAAATCCTATACAGATATATCTGCACTTGCTTCTACTGGTGGTTGAAATTCCTGCTACACAAGCAAAAAACTCAAGCAAAAACCAAAGACCCCACACTCTGCTAAATCCCTCTGCAGTAATTGAAATGTCAAAAACTCAAAGTAAGAATCAGTTTTAAATCATTTTGATGCCACATGTATCAAATTTCTAGGTTAATTGGCTTCCACTTTTTTCTTTCTGAATTTTCAGAAAATTGTTGCTTCATTTGGAATGCTTTTCCTAGTGTGTTGCTTTTCGGAAGTATTTTTGTGTGATTATGGAGGTTTTGATTCTTGTTAACCAAATGGATTAAGGAGAAAGTGTAGCATTCTTCCAGGGCTGTCTCACCTCTTAAAAGTTAATATGATGATTCTGCTGTACTAAGAGCCAAAGAAAATGTTAGGTTAAGAGGGAGTAATAGGACTAGAGGTTACAGCAAGACAGAAAAAGAGATAGGAGAAATAAATGCAAGTGACACAGTAGTTTCAAGAATTCAAAATGAGTTTGTTTCTACCACTCTGTGCTTGTGGTGATCTTGCAATTGGAATGTTTAAAAGAAGTATTTCTGAAAATGGTTTAAAAGGAGACTATATAATTTCTTAGGTGTGATATTTCATAACCGTCTTGAATTTCTTCTTAAACATGCTCTTCAGTTTCTCCATTAATATTTAAAATCTGTACTTTGCGGTCATGACTGTCCATTCAGCCATCGCCATTAAGTACTTTAACTGTGGTGGTGGTGGTGGTAATTGAGAAGAGGGAACCTGTATGATATGTGTCCAGATTTTTTCCAACATCTACAACTCTGCTGGTATGGGTAGACAACTATTTATTTCCTCCATTAACTTATATTGTAAAACAAAGTGAAGAGTCCTGTTTTTAAATGTCCTCTACATAATTCTTTGAGTGTCTTCCATATTTATCTGTTGATGTAATGTAGTATTTGCTGCTTTACCTCAACAAAAGGGGTCTTCTGATGCTTTGATGTGAAAATCAGATTGCTATGTTTACAGAGACGGTTCACAGCCTTGAGAGAAGGATTAGAGTTCAGCAGCAATCATTTAATGTTTTCCACTCGTAATTATGTTCATGTAATGCATCAGTGAACTTACTGAAGCATACGGAGTTAAAGACGCACTAAATGCTAGTGAATTTTGAGGAGGAAAGAGCAAAACATTAAAAGGATAAAGCCTTAGGCCCTATCTGTGTTTGGGGATATTTTTCCTTGCACAAGTGTGTGATTCTGTGGATGTGACTGCCTATATGTGGTGGGAAACTGTATTTAATACTCTGGAATTACCTGTAGCAGGATATTCTCTATATCACTACACTGAATCAGGATCTTAAAATCAGAGATATCAACTCTTTGAAAAGATGGAATTAGTAGCTATTAAAAAAAAGTCATATTATCAAAGAATTACTGTTTTAAATTCATTTTGGCATTTAGGCAGCATCAAGGGATAATTATCCTTAAAAATATTTTATTATAATGACAACTCTTAAACAGAAATCCCTAGTATACTATCAGGGAGGAATATTATGTATTCCATTTCCTGTTCATAAACAGAATGTGTTTCCTACCTGCAGTTAGAGTGAACGGTCTTTGTTGATGCTCTCGTTATGCAGAATCCCTGAAAATCATAAAAATATGTGATGAGGTGAATTAAAACCAAGCAATAATAGTGAGGTCAAAAACAAATGGGGGAACACCTCTGCCCTACCCCACTTCTTTTCAAGACACAAATTTGGGAAGGAATATGTGCTGATATGTTGCAGATTGCATAGGACTGTTTGGCAAGATTTTGTGTCAGCAGAAATATGATGGACATTGAGGCGGTCTTGTCTAAAGTGACTTTAAATGATTTAGGTAAAATTGTTGGAGTTTATGCTTATCACTTGAGATTAATTTGTTGTTTTCTTGTGTGTATTCTTTTTCCTTGAAATATACAGGCATTTCAGTAGGACTATGGAGGAGCTGGTTCACGATCTAGTCTCAGCACTGGAAGAAAGTTCAGAACAAGCCAGAGGAGGTTTTGCTGATACTGGAGATCATTCTCGAAGTGTGTCGTGTCTTCTAAAGCGACAGGCAAGGAAAAGGAGGGGACGAAAAAGACGATCATTTACCACTCATCATCCTTGGGAGACTGGTCACTGCTTAAGTGAAGGTTCTGATTCCAGTTTAGAAGAATCAAACAAAGACTACAGGGAGAATCATGCTAGTAAGAAAGACCACAGTGACTCTGATGACCAGTTGTTGGTTGCTAAACGTAGGCCTTCCTCAAACTTAAATAACATTAGAGGCAAAAGACCTCTGTGGCACGAACCAGATTTAGCTGTTGACAGTTTGGGAAACAGGACTTTGCGCAGGAGAAGAAAGGTAAAACGAATGGCAATAGATCTGCCGTCAGAAGTCTCTAATGCACTGACAATAACACAACAGCAGGATAACAGCAGAGATCAAGAAATGGATAATAACAATAAATCATACCAACACCAAGAGTTTTCCAAGAGCAAAGTGAAAAAAAGAAAAGTAGCCGCAACACGACAAGGACCAGAAGTCTTGGATGAAGGAGTAGTTATAGAAAATGAAGAAGTGAACCAAGCAAATAAGGACAAAATGGAGTACGAGGAGCAAAAAGGCTCAGATGAAAACATGAGTGACAGGTTATTCTTTCTCTTCATTTTTGCAGAAATTTTGGATAGTATTCGTTTCCTTTTATGGTTGCTTGCATTGAGAATATTTGGGTTTTTCTTTAATACCAGACTTAAAATGCTAGCATTAGTAGCATCTGTTTTCACAAGTTAAGATTAATTTTTCTTTTGAAGTCTGCTGTTTTTAACAGATGAGTTGCTTAGGTTGAAGTATTCAGCATAGACTCATGTAGTAGAGGAATAAGCAAGAAAACAGTTTCTTGAAATTATACAATCTAATTGTTTTAAGATTAAGAATGACAAAATATACAAATGTTTAATATGTTCTGGATATTTCAACTGATGACAGGTCTTGGACAAAATTGAGTGTTTTTCCAATTTCTAGACATTGGTGCTTTGATTGTTATCTGTATTCATCAGAAAGGTTGTCAGTGTTTAGAGTCACCATTTAGACAATATGTTCTTATGTGTCATGGGCATAAAAAGTCTGCAGGTTGCCAAGGATATACATCATTTACGAAATGCAAAAACCAATTTACAGTTCAGAAACACCTGAGCTTACCATTAGAAAAATGGGGGAATGATGACCCTTTGGCAGTACACCTCATCCATCCATTCCAGACAGCAGTCATACTACAATGGTAATTGTTTCCCAGGTACCATTTTGACAACACAGTAAAGGTGTAAGTCATTTTTCCACCATGCACAAGGGATGTTACTTGCAAGGTGTGGTACACTTGATTATGTTTATTCCATGTGCCTTCTTTGAATGCAGAACTGTCAACAAGAAAGACTCATATTAAAACATCTAATTTTGGTCAGTTGCTTGACAGCACTAGTATCCCTGGTTTGTTGGGTTTTTTTGGGGTTTTTGTTTTGTTTTGTTCCCCCCCCCCCC